GTCACTCCATTCGCCATAACAGCTAAGTCTCCTCGACTCTATAACAAACATGGACTCAAACAAAACATGAGACAAATGCAAGCAAGAAAGATACACAAATCAAGAAAGCAAAAAAATCTAACTTTTTATTCAACTTTCACCCGTACTAGGCTAGCCGAGTTCGAATGAAAGGGGGTCACTGTTATAGCCTGTAAATAACTAAGTGTTAATCTTTCTTGAGTTGTCGACACGTGTCCCACTCCACGTCATATCAGACATGATCACAACCCAGATGGCTTGAACCGCTACTATTGTTGACTCTATAAGACGACAACTTACTGTAGGCGTCAAAAATTGCCTATAGGTCCCCGTACACGGCTCGACAGAGAGAAGATGATGAACGTTGCTATTAAAGTCACAGAAGCTCGTTTGATAACGACAAACACATGAAGTGAGTCGACGGATCATATGAAGCAACAGAACTTTGGAATAACGGAAACAAGAGCTGATCGGGAGCCCCGCGTCGTTTACGAAAGACAGAGCACCCCTCATGTCCCATTTATTCCACATATGATTCAATCATAGGAGCCTGTAGATCTTCTCGTCGGCTTTCTAACGCATCTTGAACTGCGTAATTTTGAATCCGGACGACGAATTTACGGTGGAAACAAACTCGACGTGCCAAAACCAGAAAAAGCCAAACCAAGACATCCCGTGGTGTCTTGGCTTGGCCAAGACACTTATAATTGTCTTGGCCAAGCCGAGACACTTACAAATGTCTCGGCCAAGCTGAGACACCTCAAGTTCTGGCTTGGACCAAAGACCAACTATGCTGAGTAGCTTGGACGAGTGGCCCGAGACTCAGAAAGTGTCATTGGCCGCTACGCAAAAGTAGTTTCAGTTTCGTTTCTTTTATAGATGAACCTGAAATATTTTGGATATGATCGGTCCAACCTTCAGTCGGTGTAAAAAGACCTGTTGTTAGCTTTGACTCTTGACTCCTTCGATTTTAAATCTATTCGATGTTTTGACGAATAGCTGAAGTTCTCCCGGTGCTGCGTTTATCGTCTGGCCATCGTCGAAGTCTCAAATCGAAACTGGTGAGTTGATTTTGGCTCGTATCATCGAGTTGACTTTGAACTGACTATCTTCATCACGATATATTGATTCACATTAAATTTTATTGTAATGCGTTGACTGGCGTTGACCTTTTCATTGTAACGCGTTGACTAGCGTTGACCTAGGGTTACATGTTGACTAGCGTTGACCTAGGATTTCGGATCGCCCGGCGTTAACTTTTTCATTATAACGCGTTGACTGCATTGACCTAGGGTTACGTGTTGACTGGCATTGACCTAGGGTTTCAAATCGCTCGGTGTTAACTTTTTCATCGTAACGCATTGACTAGCGTTGACCTAGGGTTACGCGTTGACCGGCGTTGACCTAGGGTTTTGGATCGCCCGATGTTAACATAGTTTATACTCGTACGTTTGTTAGAGTATACACAGTTTAAGATCTTAATGTATTGGAGCATAGTAGTCCTAACAGTTGGGGTTGCAGGACCAACTGTCAAAGCTGATTCATCTGTAGATACGAATCTTATCTCGAAGTTGTTGGATGCTCGAGTCACGAGACCAGTTAATAAGGCTGGTGCGTCAATGACTTTTATACTTATAGGATTTTTGACAAACCCTCAGCCATTAACGGATTTGATGAGCCTTTACCGACTACCGTTTGAGTCGGGCTAGCATGCAGATTGTTTAAATCCGTTCTGTATGTAATGTTGTGCTAAAAGAGTTAACTCCTTTAGTGCTACGATATTAAATACGTAGACCTCATCTTTCTTATGGGAATAGACTACCTGACAGCATGTATCAGATGCAGACTCAGGATTTTTAGCAAATCCTCAGCCATCAATGGATTTGATGTGTCTTTACCGATCACCGTTTAAAACATGCTTGCATGCGGATTGTTTAAGTCCGTTCCGCATGTGACGTTGTGCTAAGAGAGTCGACTCTCTTAGTGCTACGATATTAAATACGTAGACTTTGTCTTTCTTATGGGAATAGACTACCCGACAACGCGTGTTAGGTGCTGACTTATCCCTACTTAGGCTTCGGGATAAAATTACCCAGACTAGAATTCTGATGTCTTTTTCAATCGGTGAAAGACTAAACCGACAACGCGTGTTAGGCATTGACTTATCCCTACTTAGGATTCGGGATAAAATTCCTCACGCGTATAAGGCACAGATTATGGTGTTATTAATAACAACCTGTCACAATATCGAATATGTGAGCTTTTGTCTTTTTTACGGTCAAGGATTAACCGACAACGCATGTTAGGCGCTGACTTATCCCTACTTAGGTTTCGGGATAAAATTTTCCATACTAGAATTCTGGTGTTTTTTTTAATCGGTGAAGACTAAACCGGCAACGCGTGTTAGGCGTTGACTTATCCCTACTTAGGATTCGGGATAAAATTCTCCGTGCGTGTAAGGTACAGATTATGGTGTTATTAATAACAACCTGTCACAATGTCAAATATGTGGGCTTTTATCCTTTTTACGGCAAAGACTAACCGGCAACGTGTGTTAGGCGCTGACTTATCCCTACTTAGGATTCAGGATAAAATTCTTCATGCATGAAGTACACGGATTTGGAGTTGAGAATAAGCGGTGCCTTCTCTTGTGGCAAAGACGGACCTAGAATGGGAGGGAAAGAATTTTATATTCTATCTTCCAAAACTGAAGAGGAAGAATTTTATATTCTTTTCAGTTGCAAAGGAGACTCGAAATGGGATCTCCACCTCAAGAATCCGAAAAAGTGAAACTAGGAGTGAGATCTCCACTCTGAAAATCAAAAAGATTCAGATAACCCTAACTTTTATAGGATTAGTTACCTGATTCGAAAATAAAATTCTGACTCCAGTCCTAAATTTTATAGGTTTGACTGAAGGGGAAAGAGAGAGTGAAAGCCTTTCGTTCATAGAAATGGAATTCTGATTTTGGTCCTAACTGTCTACAGGTTTAACCGAGCGGGGATTTGAGACAATCCTAACTTTTATAGGTTTGATCGCTCAATTAGTGGACCTCTCGTTCATTGAAGGAATCGAGAGTGGATTTTGGTTGTGATCCTAACTATAGGAAGGTTTGACCAAGTGAACAGTGAGAGTGGGAGTACAAATCATAGTGGGAGTGTTGATTTGTAAAAATCACTCAAAGGTTGTTCTTAATATTAAGTGACAAATACTTAATACGGAGAGGTTTGACAATTGTTAAAAAAAAGATGATTAAAATCCCGAGTACTATGTCCAGACTCTAACAATGGGAGTGTTGAGTGCACAGACGTAGCGGGAGTTTGAGTGGGAGCTTAGTGTTTATCACTTTGCTTATAATGATCAGGTTATCCCTAAGAATATTACATTTAACATTCTTCCGGGAACTTACCGTTACATGAATTATCTACCCCCAGCTTTCTTTGCGAAATTGGGTTTATCATTGTATTCAGTTGAATGACCGAGTTATCCTTAAGAATACCAGGCATAGCACTCTCCAGGAACTTTCCGTGAAAGAAAGGAAATAGTTTAGACTCATATACCGGTTAGAGTTTTGAGGAGCAGTTTATACTTGTACACTCTTCGGAGTGTGAATGAGCAGTTTATACTCTTATACTTTTCAGAGTGTGAAAGAGCAGTTTATACTCTTATACTTGTCAGAGTTTTCATTCGCTTAATTGAGCGTTATGACGCTGGCTTCAACCAATGTTTGGATGCTATTTTTGAGAGTAAAGAAATCCTTGGTGGGATGAAGGATCCTCCTGTGATACGCACAGTACTTTGGATTCGAGATATTATCAGCTTCCTTCTGATTTGTGATAGGTAACAGCTTGATCTTATTGTTTTTAAGGAGGGATTCGAAAATAGCTGAAATATCTTCATCCTTGAATGAGTACTCTTTTTGGAGTCTCGGACCCGAAGTCTTCTCACTACAAGAAATTACGTCTTTAACGAAAGGATTTCCCTTTGTTAAAGAGCTGAAAACCGTCGTTATTGTATGCTAACGACATGAAAAAATCCCTTCGTCACCCGTCGTTGAATCCCTCTTCGCTAAAGGGTCACGAAGGGATATAATACCCGTCGTTATAGAGTCTATAACGACGGAACATATTACCGTCATTAATATTTACGACGGTAATTATCACCGTCGTTACCATTAGTGACGGGGTTATTTTCCCGTCGTTACCATCAGCGACGGGAATATTTTACCGTCGTTACCATTAGTTACGGGGATATTTTCCCGTCGTTACTTTAAATGACGGGTTTTCATTCCCGTTGTTATTGTGTAATGATGGTTTTGTAGCCCGTTATTATTGTGTAACAACGGGTGACAACCCCGTCGTTAAAGACCAATTAATGACGGTTAGATACCGTCGTAAAAGTCCTCATGATGAGTAATTAGTAACCTATCAACGATGGTGCTTTCCCTTCGTTGATGAACAAAACGTGATTTATAAAACCGTCATTATAGACTACAAATTTCTAATTTACATTAATGATAATTTTTTCATTCATAGGCAACTATCATATTATTCTCAACATGAAACTAAGATTCACAACACAAATATATTAAAAATACCCAATAATGAATAAAAAAGAAATCAAAAACTCCATTCATTAATAACATCAATAAATAAAATTCCACCATCCTCAAATATTCAACACTAATAACAAGTGTTAATATCCCAATTGTTCTAAAGGAAAATACGTGAGACTATCTAAAACAAATTAAAATAGAAGTCTGGGAAAGACACATCGTTTCATCTCTAATCATCGTCAAAAGAAGACTTGAGCTACCCCCCCTCTCCTAATATTGCATGGATAGCCTAGAAAATTAAAAAAAATCACATAATTAAAAAATATCAATTAAGCAGTTATTATCTTATTAAGTAAAAATCTTATTTTCTCAAGTGCAAGTAGTCAATCATAAAAATATATAAGAGATTTTATAAAAAATTAATTACCTAGTCCTGCACATGGTCTCGAGTTTGAGGAGTCAATGAAGATGGCTGCCTAAAAAAAGTTCCTGTATAGCTTTCACTTGTGACTCTAAGTCAGACACCATTTGTTGTTGTTGATGTTGTTGTTGCTCCTGCTCATATTTCATATCCTTCAAACAGAAAAAAATGTTCAGCCGAGAAAATAATTATGTCTCTTTTGTATGATGTCCTCTACAGATACAACAAATGACAGTCTCCTGCTTAATCTTCTAAATTTAAAATCGACATCTTTAATGGTGAAACACAAAAGGAAACGGAAAGTATGACCCTTATTATGCAAGATAGATAGGAATAACATGCCATATGAGTAAAAACCATGGTAATAGAGAAAGGGTAAGCTACTGGCATCAGGGTTGTCATGATTTATAAAATAAACTAAAATTCTGATCCTGATTGAGAAACCATAATGACAAAGAATAATAAAGGAAGGACAATGTAATTACCTCCTGATCTGCTTCTTCTTTTGTTGCAAAAGCCGTATGCCCTTCTTGCCAAAGAAACTCTTTACTCCTACATACATTTAAATTGGTACTAAATATGAAATATACAAGTGAAAATTTTCAAGCTCACAAAAGAAGCAATAATTAGCATTGGATGACCAATATATGTCATCTTTCACCCCGTTTGGACACCATGCAATGGGAAAATACTTTATTTGTGGCATTACGCCCATTATATATGTCTACAAGGGAAAATACTTCATTTAAATTAGTACTAAATATAAAAGACATCTGCTAAGGTAATCTTCACCTAGTCCTAATTCCTGGGATATTAATTTTAGGATCCTGGCGGCCGATCCTTCTACCTCTGCTACGAATTTGACAATGATATCCCTGACAATATAGAAACCCACTTAGCTGTAGCCCCAGCTGCATGAAAACTTTGTTGAGTCGAGTATCCGAATGTGGTGGGCTTTTGGGGATAGAGGTGCATGAATTCATCGCCAGGTCCATAGTAAACAAGTCGCAAGCAGTCCCTCCTTAATTGTCTTTCGTGATTGCTGCAGCCATGGCTCGTGTAAAGTCTGGGGACTTTTTTGAAATCCTCTGAATAAGTGAATAGCATACGGCCTTGTCTTCCATAGGCATGTCGAAGAATTCTTTTGCAACTTCCATCACAGCACTGATCATTTGTTCCGATATGCTGTGGTCTATCACCTGCGAACAATTACTATAAAATTCTAATGTATTTTCCCGGAAAAGAATCTAAATAAAAGTTTTTTTAGGGAAGGTAATGAGGTTTGATTAGGACTAGAGTTGACATAAATTTGGGGCTTAATGACGACAGGGGTTAACAAAATATGGGGCCTGAAGAGAACACAAATTGTCAGGACTTCATCAAGGCGTATTCCTTGTACGGAGTTAATTTTGTTGTATATTTCATGAGCTTGAGATACAAATGTTTTGAGATGAAGCACAACAATATTTATTAGCATATAATCGATTAAAGATTCACCTTGGTGATATTTCGTTTGAAAGGATGTGTTGAGGCTAACTGGACAGAAGTATCCAATTGCGCATATCCATTCTTTACTAGTGAGTGAGAATGATTAAATTGATATATATGTTAAGCTTGGTCAAAATGTCAGTTTTATTCACCTTCTGTAAATTCTTTTACAAAGGAAATAGAAAAGCATATACTTTTCTAGTACCAAATAGAAAATAGCTTTTAGATCTTCGTAAACAATAGATGGTGTTTCCAAAATCAACGTATTCCTATGCGTATAGCCTATAGAGGAATTTCCAATTTAGACTAATGCAAAGACAGAATGTACGGTACCAGGTAATAATGTCTTGAAATGGTTTGAAAAACATAAGATATCCATTTGAGATGTGAGCATTTTCGATCAAGAGAATGAAGTTGATGTTTTGGAGGTGCCTAATATGTCTGTCCTTTGCGTCCGGCTAACGAGAAGTCAATTGATCATGTCATCTTTTTATATATTTGAACTCAGTAACATGATCAGAGCAATTTAAATTAGTACTAAATATGTCTACTTTCACCCCGTTTGGACACCATGCAATGGGGAAATACTTCTTTTGTGGCATTACTCCCATTATAAATTAGTATCCCATGATAAAAATCACATATTTAACAGGTGATTGATCCATTCAATTTTCTTTTCAATCATGATAAAAATAAACTGCTAATATATATAGCAGGAATATCAGATATCAAATGAAAGATGCATAATATGTCTTGCATATCATACATAAAGTAGTTTAGAGCAGTTGAGATAAATAGAATAACAAGACTAGAAGAACATTATCTCATGGTAAACTACATGTGCGTGTGTATTTAATTGTCTTAACAACCCTCATTTAAGTTTATTTCCTGTTCAACAGGAAGCCCTGAACTTCTTAAGCCTTTCTTATACGAAATTTAGGATTATAAAAGCTTGCAGCTGAATTCCCAAGCACGTGCAGAAGGATTATAATATAAATACCTAATGAAAGGAGCAGGATTGCTGAATTCCCAACGCACGACATTGCCCCATTGGTTAAGCTTCAAAGGCAAGTCCCTGTGACTTCTAATCCACTTAGAATAGTATGGATACATAACAGTCTCACTTGTGGGACGAATTGCAATAGGAATTTCCAGTTCACTCTGACCTGAATTTGTAACCCATGCAACCTAAAATAGTCATAAAAAATAGAGACGGAATGTGTGTCACAAAACCAGGAAAATGTATACATTATTTAGAAACCCAAATAAAAGAACACATAAGAATTGAAAGAAAAGCATAACACAAAACAAACATTCATGCACAATAGAACCATCTGTGCACTTATACACACAAACAACACAAGCAGAAATATATGCAAAAGTTCCATAATTACAACAAAACATCTAAGAAGACCCGTATTAAATCAGATGTGGAGGAACTACATGAAAGATGTTAACCCAATAATCCAAATTTTAATCCAAAAATCTAGTATTTGAATATTAAAAAAAGTCCAAGTTCTAGTCAGAATCCTAGAAAGAAATATTAATGTTGGTATGAGGGTTATGATGTTCTGTAAATAAGTAATTTTTTCCTTTAGTTTCTCGTAGTTAAAAGTGTCAATGGTTGTTATAATTATATAATATTCCATCATAATAACAAGTTTTAAGCACAATAATATGCAAAATCTAAGCACTCACTTGCATGCTTTCCCAAATTGCCATTGTCCAAGGCCTTTGTATATAACATCCAGAAATATCATAATACTCGATCATATCACCACTAACAACCACCCGAAAATAAAAATAAAATTGAAAAATAGGAAGTTAGCAAAAAAGAAATCAGTAAAACGTCCTGTTCAAAATATGAGAAAAATATGCAATAATACCTCAGAATGTCATTCACCAAAGTTTTCATCTTTCTTAAACCTCATCCCAAGTCCTGTCTCTTTCTTCACTTCCTTCTTCTTTCTTGCTGGTAAAAAAATTAAAAAAAATCAAAATTTGAGAAGAAAGATTATTGAACCGAAACAATTGGGATGGTCGGCGAACAAGCGGAGGTGTCGAACGAGGGGAAGTGAAGGAGAGGCAGCTGGCGGGGCGGAGGCGGTGGGGGCGGAGGCGACGGGGGTGGAGGGATCAGATCTCCGGCGTACTCGGGCGGCGTCAACGATGGCTATGTAGGCGCCGCCGTCGAGGAGGACGAATTAGAGGGGGCGGGAGAGGAAGGCGTGGACGAGGAGGAAGCTAGAGAAATTTTGAAAGGGAGGGTTTTGGAAATTTTGAGCATGTTTGAGGAAAACAGAAGGGGGAAAACTTTTAGAAGCGGGGTTTGGAAAATTTGGGAGCCCGCTCAAACAAAAATAAAGGATCTAAGACGGAATTGGCGAAATATGGTGGACGAGCCTTTTAGCGACGCAGATGCATAAAAAAGCGTCGTAAAAAAGTAGACCTTTTAGCGATGCTAATCTAACAAGTTGCGAAAAAAAGATTTTTAGCGACGCTAACGTAACATGTCGCGATAAATGCATATTATTAGCGACGCCAACCCTAAAAAATCACTAAAAATATATATTTTTACTGATGAAAATAAAAAACGTCGTGAAATCCATACACTTTTACCGACTAAAGTTAAAACGTTACAAATAACATACACTTTTAGTGACGCTAATTATAAACGTGGCGAAAAATATATGTTTTGCCGATGCTAATTAAAATCGTCGGGAAAAACATGATTTTTGGCAACGTATTTAACCATGTGTCGGGAATAAGCGTGTGGAAAAGTGCAATTTGTTGTAGTGCTAGGAGAAACACGACGAGTTTTAGAGGTGGGGATGATAAAGAGAACGGCGGATTTTTATAACTAGGGTTTAATTGATTATTATTGCGGTTAGAGGATGATTAGGAGTTAAGGGGTTTGTAAAATTGGGGCTTCGGGTTTTAATGTGGGGCTTCGGATTTTAATGTGGGATGTGTTAATAGCAATATGTTAATTTTAGTCTAATTATGATTAGGAGTCCCATCAATGAAGGTAATGAATCCCTTCGTTTTTAAGGAGACCCAATAACGACGGTATTAGGATCAAATCAACGAAAGGATTATAAATCCGTTATCCCATATCACATTATTTCTCTAATGTTTGTAATCACTCGATGAAGGGATTAAAACCCGTCGTTATTGTATGCACATTAATGACGGTCAACTGGTCCCTTCACTAATTTTGGTCGTTAAATAACAGATTTCTTGTAGTGTCTGCTGTCTTCGGGGTTACTGTTGTGATGTCTGATTAACGTCAATAGCAGCTGCAGGGGCCTTCCCTTTACCACGAGAGACGAAGCTTGAGTTCGGAGAGTTAGTCGTTGGTTGGTTTCTCTCGGTTTTCTTCCTTCTGAGGAAGCGTTTGGCCTGCTCTCCGTGCGTCTTCAACTCTTTCCATGTGTTGGATGGTGCGACTCCCATAACTTCTAATATCTCAATAGATAGGTTGCTATGACATGTTTGGAGGATGAAGTCCTCCGTGATAAGATCTCGACAGTTCATCGCCTTATTCCGAAAATGTTTGATGAAGTCGTCGACTGTCTCTTCGTCTTCCTGTTTCTCCTTAAAGAGTGTCCTGATGGATATCTCGGCGTCATCATCAAAGAAATTACCGAGGAATAAGCTCTCCATATCGTCCTAGCTGTTGATACTTCCAGGCTTGAGACGGCGGTACCAATTGAAGGCAGGTCCGCGAAGGGTGCCGATGAATGACCGAACCATCAAGGCTTTATTATCGGAGATTGTGCCCAAGTATGACTTAAAGTAGATTAGATGTTGAGTGGACGAACCCTTCCGGTCAAACAGCGTGAAGTTGATCAGGTTGAACTTCGCCGGTTACGGAATCGAATCCTACTCTCTCGGGTAAGGACACGAAATGTCGGTCTTCTTTACCTCTCGAGTAGACATTAGAGCGTTACTTTTTCTCTCGAGGTCTTTCATTTTCTCGTCCTCGTCTGTATCATGTTTTGAATGATTTCCAAGAGGAACAATGTGGTCACCCTCGGAATTATTATCTTTGGCTGGACCACCCCCAGCATTGTTATTTGTAGGGGACGCATTTGAACCACCCCCAGTATTTTTGGGGGGTGCGTCGGCCATGATGGTTTCATCCACTTCTGGATCGCTGTCAACTGTGACGTTCTGGGTGCGGCGGCTGGATTCACCAAGTTGATTGGACAGAGCCTGTCGGTCATGCTCTTCCTTCATCTGTATCATGGCTATTTCCAATTCGAACTTCAAGTTCTCTTTTTGTTTAGCCAAAGCATCCTCGATGATCTTGATCATTTGTTCCGCGTTGATCATGAACGCCTCACGAGATTGTCCTATGCTGGACACCGTATCGTCAAAAGCGATGGCAGAGTTCGCATCTGATGCTTCATCTGAGGATAATCCACTATTCATCCTCTGATAGTCCCCACGCCTAGTAGTTCCTACGTGTAACCGAGTTATACATTAGGATACGTCCGAAAAATGACGAGAACTAAAACTTCGCATTGACTTCCCTTTATCAACCATATTGATAGTGACCTCTGGGAGTTCGTCGTCTTGCGCAGCTAATCTTTTTCTACGGAAATGCCTTAGCTTAGTTTCCGACGCTTTATAGGAAAGCCTTTGGAATACCGAGACCCTCTGTGGAGCGGTCTTGGGGCAGCTACACGCTAATAATATTGCCCTAATAATTTTGGTACATGCACAGTGAGAGTTCGCTTTTCGAGTACCTCTCTTTCGAGATTTATTCGTACCCCCAGCCCGATAGTATAACTCATCGACGTTGCGGTCAGAGTAACCTATCGGCTGTTTATATGAATTCTCAGGTATAACGCGTTCGTCTGCTTGACACGTTTTCTTCTAAGTAAACAATGCCTTGTTGGCGTCTGCAGGAGTCACTCGTTTGGAATCACACTTTTCTAAGGGTGAAACCTTAATGGGCTCCTGGCCTTCTGTACACACCCCCAAACGGGCGGTTACAGAAATCAACTTGTTAGGAGGTCATGTACAACCCCCAGTCTGGATGTTTGCTCGGGGTTCCTTCAACAGTCCTAAGCGTTCCTTAACAGGCGCCTTGCCTCAATCTTTGGGTAGAGAACCGAGGTGATACTTCAATGGAATTCTAACTCTGGGGAGGTCCATACCGTCGTAGGGTTCTACCGGAGGCGTGGGAGCGGAAGGAGCGGGATCCGAAGTTGACGAAGGCTGGGGAGCAACGTCGCATGCTTTTGCCTTAGGAGTTGATTTAGCCTTTGGCATACAAGTTTGTTTGGATCTCGACGATCTCTTAACCACCTCTTCCTTTTGCATTTCTTGTGCTTTTCGCACCAGGTTCTGGGCATGCGCAAGAAGTGCCCGACGCTTCTGAATGCGCTCCTCAAGAGTGGAACGGTTCCATTTGATACGAACCCATTCGTTAGTAGGTGGTTGGGAGGAGGTTCCCGAAGCTTGATGCTGGAACACTTGGCGCCTTCTGAGTTTCAGATCCGCATCATAGCAGATCTCGTCAATAGGCTTCAAAGCCTTGGCAAATTGACGCGCGAGATGTTGACGGCGCCTTTGACGAGCCCTCTTCGTCAGCACTGGTGCACTTTCAACGGGTAACTCTTTGACTTTCGAAGAGTTATCACGAACGTTGGATCTGGTTTCTTTGGAGGCCGGAGAGGGGTCTTCCACTGCATTCGGGTTCAGATCATCAGCTCTGGTCTTCAAATCTGAAGGCATGTTCTTCGCGGTAGTGGTTTTCCTGCGTTTGCAAGAAGAAGATCTGGAGGAGGAGGAAATATATTCCTCGAATTTCTGGTAGTCGAATTCGTATTCGACCTCTTCGAACACCAGGATCTTGATCGTCGGCTACGGTACGACAGCTTCGGCAGCAAAGCTGTAAACTCTCACTGTGGTCACCAGCTTGTTTGTGGTAAAAGTTGATATCTTCATTGCTGAATCCATTACACGTTTATCGATTACAAATTCAAAGTAAAATTAGTCTTTTTATAAGACTTTCTTACACAATGAAAATAAGAAAAATACTACTCTCTTCAAACAAACGCAACAGGTGTTTATCGCCTGCTGCTTGCGTGGGATCTTAGCCTGTGACGGGAATGTTGATATCCGTGGACCACCAAACGATCAGACCAAATCCGGAGGTTCGTTGATTCGCGAAGGAATCAAGAAACCTAAGTAGTTATCTCAGCAATGGCGAGATAACCACTCTTCTCGAGATCACCGCAACGGGGCGATCTCAAGGAAGGAACCGGGAAGTGTAGATCTGACGAGCTCCCCTTTTTTATGATGACAAACTCGATCCGATCTCTCCTCCTCCTCTCTGAAATCTGTGGCTCTTCAGTCCTCAATTCGGCAGGACTTCGCCGACGCTCGAGAATTCCATATCTGAAAAAATAAAGGCCCTGAGGCTGCATTTATAGGCTTCAGGAGCCCTGTTTTCAGGAGCCCTGTGTCTGCAATACAAAAAAACACTGATTTTGGTTGTTTTCAGTGTTTTTTCGATCGTTAACCGCCTGGATTTGCTCCAACTAATCTGATAATGTGGTTAAGTGGTTTCAACTGAAGATAAGAGAGAATCAGCCGTTTTTATCCGAACACAGGGCTCCTGAAGCCTATAAATAAAGCCCCAGGGTCTTTATTTTTTTAGATCTGGAATTCTCGAGCGTCGGCGAAGCCCTGCCGAATTGAGGACTGAAGAACCGTGAATTTCATAGAGGAGGAGGAGAGATCGGATTGAGTTCGTCAACATAAAGAAGAGAAGCTCGTCAGATCTACACTTTCTAATTCCTTCCTTGAGATGGCCCTGTTGCGGTAATCTCGAGAAGAGTGGTTATCTCACCATTGCCGAGATAACTACTTCGGTTTCTTGATTCCTTCGCGAATCAACGAAGCTCCGGATCTGATCTGATCTGATCGTTTGGTGGTCCACGGATATCAACGTCCCCGTCACAGGCCAAGATCCCACGCAAGCAGCAGGAGATAAACACCCATTGCGTTTGTTTGAAGAGAGTTGTATTTTTCTTATTTTTATTGTGTAAGAAAGTCTTATAAAAAGACTAATTTTACTTTGAATCTGTAATCGATAAACATGTAATAGATTCAGCAATGAAGATATCAACTTTCATCGCAAACACTTACATGGCCGACTCGAAAAGTAGTATTGCCAACCTACCTATTAGATTGAAACCACAAGACTGCACGCTTGGCCCACTATCTTAGCTGACAACTCTCGATTCGGACTAAAAAGACGGTGTTAGTCAACCCTCCACCAGATGACTGAAGAGGCAGTACTTGCCGCCCTTCTCACAAGGAGTTGTTCCTTCTCAACAGGTAGCCTGACTTGTCCCTTCTCGCCAGGCTGAATCATCCCTTCTCGCTAGGCCGAGTCGAAAGGCGATCTTCTTCGAGCCCCCCTACCAATAGCCAATCACCAGCATGTTAAATATATGGTAAAAAATCATCACTACTTTAGCCCAAAAAATCATTATGACTCATCAGGCTTCGTTAGCACCAAGCAGGTGTTGTCTCTTTCACTAACCACCTAGATGACCCATCTTCGCTAGCTGCTGACACCTGACAGTTGTTTGTCGAGTCAGCTGCCTGCTTGGACTCGGCTAAGTTGCCTTTCTGCCCTTTTGATCCTCTATAAAACGAAGCCATGCAGCTAAAGGTAACTTTCTGCGCCTTCCACACAACTTTGAGATTTTCTTCTTCTCACGTTTTCCCGCTCAAGTTCATATACTAACTTGGTCGTCGGAGGAACAATCGGAGAACCCAACTCCGGCCTCTTAAGAGTCCTTCATGTGCTGGGAAGAACAACGGTCTATAGAGCCAGTCATCTGAAGGGGTTTGTGGACCCTGACGCTACTTTAATCCACAAACAAACCCCCTATTAGATAACTGACATCAACACTCTTCATTTTTTTTCTCTTCCTATTATTCAATCAATTTTATTTTGTTACTTTGGAAATATATTTTAGAATTTTGTATTATTCAATTTTTGCTAATAACTATTCGAAAAAATTAATCGATAGCTGTTTATGATGAGAAAAACTGGATGTGTAGACTTTGTGAGATTGGATTCAAATTGACGGTCGAAATTGAGTGCCACTCGATCTTCTTTTTTGACTGAATATGATCTTTGTCTTCAATAATCTCAAGACAAGACAGAAAAACCTCAGATTGACAAAAGGTAGCCAGTCCATCAACCTCTCTCCAATGCCTATGTTAGCCTCTTAATGAAGAAGACTAAGCAATGGAGAATAAATTAGGGTTAACAGAGGGATCATCAATTAGATCGGCGGAGATAAATTTGGATGAGATCTTCTACTCGTGCATGGGATTGTATATTTATAATGATATGTCTGGGAAAATCCAGTGCTCTAACTCATTGGCTGAGGAAAGCTCCTCCGACTTTGTATAAATCGAGGCAGTTGTGGTTGCTGCCAATTAAAAAAAAAATGATAGAGTTACACTCTAAGGCACACCACCAACCATACTCCCTCTCTCTCTACAGTGCAGGGGGCCCCACATGTGATTTTTTTAAAAAATCACATGTGGGGCCCCCTGGGAAAAAGACTAAACCGACAGCGCGTGTTAGGCGCAGATTTATCCCTGCTTAGGATTCGGGATAAAATTCCCTGTACCTGTGAGGCATAGATTTTAGGATTTGAAAAAGGTGGTGTCTTCTCTTGGGGCAAAGACGAACCCGAAATGGGAGAGGAAGACCCACATGTGATTTTTTTAAAAAATCACATGTGGGGCCCCCTGCACTGTAGAGAGAGGGGGTGTGATTGGTGGTGTGTCTTAGAGTGTGACTGTAGCGCCTCTCTTAAAAAAATGATTATCAATTAATATCTCTTTTAACATTTGAGTTAAGATATATTGTACGATTTGATTACGAACTTGACGTTTCTAAAAATCGTATTGAAGTTTTGTTACACGTGACAATATCAAACCCCCTCCACATCACCCAATAGTTGTCAAAGATTCAAAGTAAATAAATTCACGGGCGTGATGATTGCTTGTACACGTAGACAGAAGCAGCAATAGTGGATGACCCAACTTTTTAGCTTTCAAAGGAAAGTGAACTTTTTTTTGTTCCTTTTAACGGATGATCCAGATACGTGTTGTTCGTCTCTTACGTTTTTAAGCACCTCGCCTTAGATAACTAACAACATTGTTAGTGATCAAATATAATCCTAAAAGGTGATTAATAACTTAACGAATGAAATTTGCAGAGCTCCACTATGTGGTTTTCATTTTCATTTTGAGTATAATGGTTATGAAAATATATGGTAGTCATATCATGATATTATAACTCTATATAATATATATAATATATATATATATATATATATATTATATATATTATATATAATATATTATATAGGTGAAAACTGTGTCAACTTAAGTGAATAGGGAATAGTGTGTCACCAAAGTTTTTTAACCCGCTCATATTGTTCTAGGGATCCTTGTATTATAAAATGATGTTTTATTATAAAATGTGTGGCCTAGGAACTTTGGTGGACATCAACTTAAGTTGAAGTAGAGTCTTGCTCTCTCTCTCTATATATAATATATATATATATATAATTATATGAAAATGCCCTTGAGCTGGGGAAAAGAAACATAGAAAGACTCTCACACTCCCAAAAACATACAAAAAGTCCCACAAATTATTTATTCTCTTGACAATTTGACTACAACACTCATCCATGTCATGTGTTATACGATCGCGTGCACCAGGGTATTAGTATCTTACAATGCGAAAGATAGACAAAAACATGCACATTGAGACCAAGCAATAGATTTTGACAAGCCAATATTACGAACTGTTAAGGATCTTTGCATGGCTACTGATGCTCCAAAACAAAGTAACTCCTATCATAGTGAATAAAGCACAGCTCCGCATAACTAAGTTCAAGCAAAATAAAAAAATAATAAAAATAAGAAATAAATAAATAAAATAAAATAAAAAACAAACTTGCAGTTGCAGCAAAAACCATGGCAAAGCAATTGACCATTTAAATCAAGTAATTTTTCTCTGAAGATATTAAAAGAAGTGCAACCTGAGAATGTCTTGACCATAGGAACTGATTTTGGGCTAAACATACAAATAGAGCAATTCCAGAATCAAACAATATTGTAGATCAATATAATCAACTACTTGTTTAGAGCAAGATACATGCTCAAGATCCTAAACAGAGAAAAGAGTCTTCGCTCAAATCAAACATCAAACACAAAATAAATGTCCACCTAAGCGGACAGTATCAAACCAAAGAATATATTTCTTATTTACGAGAGAAGAAATTTCGTGCATAAACTCGAGCAAGAACTTAAACCAAACACAAGGAGAGTGATACCAAAGAATATATTTCTTATTTATGAGAGAAGAAATTTCGTGCATAAACTCAAGCAAGAACTTAAACCAAACACAAGGAGAGTGATACCTCAAGGTTGAAGACTATGAGGGTTGAAGTTACTTGTACTCTTTTTAGTTGACCAAAATATTGATGCACGGAGGATATATTACATGTCGAGAAATATGCATATAGACACTAATATTATACCTAAAATAAGTATATCGACATGAAAGAAATCATGCAAATGTAACCAATCAAAAAGAAAATCACCTAATTGATGTCTGCGTCCTATATACTTAGAGGATGTTTGGGTGAGATTATTCTTTAAAGCTTGTAAGTTATGCTAGCTTTTATGATAAAAATGCTATAAAAACTGTTGGGGCGGAATAATATTTTTTTAGTCAAGCCTAGCTTATTTAGATGAGCTTATAAGGTAGTTTTTCAAAAGCTAGGGTATACCAGCTTTTTAAAATAGGGCTTATAAACTAACTTATTTGATTTTTGACTAAACAAGTAGATATTAAAAAGCTAGCTTAAAAGCTAGTTTAACCAAAAAATAAGCTCCCCCCAAATACCCTCTTAGTTTACACATTTTACACTACTTGACATGCGAATGTAACAAATCAAATTCAGAAGTTATTAGCGCAATAATTGTAGTGTTGATTTGAAAGAGTATTTTCGTCTTTTAACATTAACCACTAACTCTGTTTGGGGGTCCTTGAGGGAAACTTGAAGTAACAAGGGCTTTAGCGGCACACCCCAAGGTTCACCATGCGTTGTCTAATTTTGAAAGTTCATGGTATAGTTTTCTGCAAACGCTCCAAGTTCACAAGTGCTCAGTGAAATTTACCCTAAGACAAATGAGAGCCTACATTTGAAAGAGAGAACAGAAACAGGTAGCAAAACCTCTAACAGTAGCATCCAAATCTTGCACGTCTACTCTACCCTTGAGAAGCTAAGAATTATGGTTTCATGTTCAATATAGAACAGGTTTTCCATTTTTTGGTAAATTGAGGAGCAAGTTCATACCACCCTTCAACCAAACACAAAACTAACGAATTTTAAACTCCCAGTTCACAGAGAAATGCTGCAAGTAAAATTCAATCAGGAAAAACACCTATGCTAAATGTCAGTTATCAGAAACATGCATGCATCTTCAAATGAATAACACTAAAAACAATATGTTGTTCGGCATGTTCAATAAAAATTCATAATATCGGTCATAAACAAAAAGTTATGTCAATACAAGTCAATTGCAATGGAAAACACAAAACTCGAGATGAAACAAAGATTGTCAGCAATTCCCGAAGTAAAGGGAAGTGAAATCCTTAAAATTATCGGTCCTCTTCCTAAACATTACTAGAGATCTAATAGACACTAAGCAACATGACACAAAGCTCGTAAACAGAAGTTTAGGAAAGTGAAAACTCCATTTGAGGTAGAGGAGGAAAGAAACATAGATGTCTGCTCTTTTTGTTCCTAAAATTAGAGACACAAACAGAGAAATAGAAAATAGAGAAACAAGGAGCAAGATGCTCTGAGCGTACAGAACAAAAGGAGCGCATGGTACAGCAAGAAGTTCATGCAAAGCAAAGAAAGATACCCAACCAGAAATAGAATCTCTATGGCTCAACGGTAAGGTCACGTTGTTGTTCCCATCAGCAACAGCCAATATATTCCCTGTCAAAGACCATGATACCCTCCAAACAGGAGTCTTGAAATCATTCAAAATCCTACCTTCCCACTGATCACCTTCTTTTGCCACAGTCCATATAACCACCGTTCCATCCTGCGACGAACTGGCAATCGTTGATTTAGGAAGACCAAGGTTTGGTGCCCAAGCAACATCCCTTACCCAATCACTGTGCATCTGGAGTGCAGGAAAACAATCCATCTTCCAACTTCCATTAAATAACTTCCACACTTTAACTGTGTTATCACAGCCACCAGAAACAAGCTTATAGACAGGATCAAGCAGGCCTGAACCAACTAAGGCACCAGGAGCTGTAGATGGGGCCCACGAGACAGAAGTCACTCCGACTTGGTGTGCCTGATCGATCTTTGTTGTATCCCAGCCACCATCAGGTCGAGCTGTGAAGACTGAAATGTTTCCATCAGAGGATCCACATGCTAAGGAGAGGCCAAGCTCATGTGGAGCCCATGCAATAGAATTAACAGAAGATTTGTGCTCGGTAAAAATGTGGGCCTGAATCCACTCTTCTGGTTTATTTCCTTCCTTCCATATGATCACACGGCCATCATAACTGCAAGAAGCAAGCATGGTTCCGAACTTTGGGTGGGTCCAGGCAACCTGCCAGACAGGACCTTGGTGCCCACTCAGGACGGCGAGATGCTGACTCGAGGAGCCACTAACACCAATTATCTTAATAGTAGCATCAGATGAGGCAGTTGCAAGTCTCTTGCCATAGTAATCCATGCAAACATCGTGAACAACATCTTGGTGGCCAGTCTCTATCTTCTGAGAAGGCATTGCTCAACTGTGTAAAAGTGATAAAGTTTCAAGGAAGTGATGAGTGAAAAAAGCATCCAACAAGGAAAAGAAAATTAGCTATATATATAAGATAGTGACTCCAAACAAAAATGAAAAGAGTTCATGATCCAAGCTAATTGTCAGGCCTTCAGATGCCAACCCATAAATATGTAGCAGTTAACAGAAGACTGAACATCCACAATATTGATTTAAGCATGGAAGATTAGTGTTCTAACTGAAGCACTAGAAAACAATCCAAAAAGAAGAAGGAACCAATAAACTGTTGACAGTCTCAGAAACTCTAGCATCTATTTAACCTGGGTGAGCTGACAAAGGCCACAAAGCCAAACAAGTGCAACCCTATAGCTATTATTAAGAAAAAAAAAATAAGAAAATGCTAGTTGTGAGGAACATACTACTTTTCTAACAGAACAAGTACCATATACTAAAATGACTTTCAACCAGCACCAATCTGCAATAGATATCTTTCTTACCTTTTGGAAAAAGGAAAATATCATTTGTGGAACCTTCTAGCCTGAAAATTCCTTGCACATGATGGGACCTTCTTTTTGGTCATTTGACTTGCAGTCTATTTCCCTGGACTTGAATCAATGAGTTTCTCCGAACGGAAAATGGTTCACATATCACTTCGTCATTAAAAAAACATTTGAAACCTATTAACCTAGGAATTCACATTAAGGTGCTAATGCTAAGGAAAATGAAAGCGATATGCACATCACCGAACCATTCAGCAAAGTTAGGTGTAAGCCTTGGAGCAAAAAAACAAAGGATCATGAATATTTTATTTCCGTTTTAAGGTTGTGTGTACATTAATTTCCAGTTGCCCCATAGACCATTCAACAATTTACAACTATGCTTTAAACCCTGTGTTGCTTAGACAGCATCCGTAAATAGGAATACAACACACTGACAAACAATGAATTCTAAAGAAATAGATAACTGTAACAGAAGTCCTGAATCCAATATCCCCAACACACTGAAATTTTCAACATCATGTGGCGTCGTGTTTGAAATGCCTGCCTGTTTTACCTAGTTTGAAGTGCATGAAACTTCACAATTAGCTTTGGAGTATTCCAAAGACATAGGCCACTATTGCCTACTTTAACTCAGCCAGTCAGCTTATTATGATGACAACACCAATCAATTCAAATGTTACATCACCACCTAAAACCAAAAAACTAATTCCTATAACATTGGACACCGGTAGGCAACAAAACACCCTTTCTCAAATTCTGAAACCTTGTCACCATCTTTTCTTTTTTGGGATGGAGGTGGCAGTAATGATTCGAAGGGAAGAGATACACATTCTTTATCCTCATTTTGTCTTCGAGATCTCATGCTTATGAGCTTACTTCAGTGCAAAGAGCTTAATAATTTTATTCAACAATTGCACATAATTTATGATGAAACCAGGTATTCTCTGTGGAACAAATGTCACTCTTCTGCATTTAAATCTAACTATAGTCTCAACCCCCAGCAAACAAACACATCATAACCATCATACCAGTTAGAACAAGTGACATTTTCATATTTTGCATACTTAAAAAATTAATTTAAATTAAAGTTTAGATCTGATAGAACGTTCAAACCACAATACATACAATAATAAAATTAGTAAAATTCTTTGTAATTACAACATTCTTTCACTTGCATGCCACCTAAAAAGATTGTGCAACTTCATCAAAATAGTCTTTTAACAGGTCATCCATGATGAATGAGTAATCACATAAATAATTATTCACCATTCAATGGTGTAGATGGCAAACTTGCTGCCTGTAAGATATATTTCAATAGGATGAATACAACAAATTT